CACCCTGTTAAAAACAACAACAATTAAAATAAAATATTTTATACCAAATAAAGCCTTTATAATGTTTGTGGTTGTAAAAATAGCCGTTTTTTATTTCTTTTTTTGACGACCTTAATTTTGGTTCCAATTTCAGCATGGTAATTTTTCTTTGATAAAGGTTTTTGGTTCAGGATCATTATTAAGACTATTAGTTCCTACTATTGGTTTGAAGGTACATTGGTTTCTTATTGTATTGTCATTATAACCAATATCATGTAAAGATGGGTTATCTTTTCTTCTTCCAATAACTCGCTGTTGGCCAAAATAGTTTTCTAACGAATCTTGACAAAGTTGTTCAGTTAAAACATATTGGACACCAATATTTAAAAGATATTTAACTAAATCAACAACTGAATAGACAGTGATATTAATACCTTCATAGATTTGCCAAGATAAAAACATATTCCCTCTATAAACCTTAGCGAAATTTCAGGTCTTTGATCTATAGACAATTTCCAATCTTAAAAATATTTAAAAAAAACTTCAGTCAACCATGTCAGTTTTTCATTATTTATCAAACAAAATGGCTCAGAAAATAGATTTCGCTTTCTAGTGCAATCTACAATATTATTCACATTGACACAATCAAAAAAATTATTGAACATTTGACAATACTCAGCAGTTTTAAAGGCTTCAGTTGGACCAAATGTCTTCAAAGCAATGTTAACTGATGAACTGAGTACTTGAACTGCTAATTTTACATTCATTTTGGAAAATGGGCTTAACCTCATATGTTCTAAGAAAAGATTTGGGCAAGTCCACAAAATGTGATTATCAGTGTTCCACATATACCTCCCTTTACCTGAAGCAGAATGAAAAAGGCAATTTTGAGCAGTTTTTACCAAATGTGGAGTATCAGCTATGAAATATATACATCGATCATAATCAGCAAATTTATTTTTGATGCGATAAGCAAATTACATGAGGCCCTATCACTTGTAGTAGCAATTACTTTTAGATTGCATGAAAGCTCTAAAATACTGACAGCTTTCCAAACTAAGAGGAATAACTTAATAGCTTGAATATTTGTTGTAGAAAAGTTTGCAAAACTATATTTAAAAGGGTTTACAATACCTCTTACAAGAAAAACTAGAACATGTGTTGCAATTTCATCAGTCTTATTCAGAGTTGCGTAGTTAATATTAGTATCACCCAGGTCAACAAATCCTATAAGATCACCAGAATATTTATCCCATACCAAATTTTCTTGAATTTTCATTTCATCTAATTTTATCTAAAAGTGTAATCAGAAAAATCACCTTTAAACTTAGTTCATTCACAATAGTCAATTCACCTTGAAACTTAGTTCATTACCAATTTCATAGTTAAACAAATTTTTTTAAATTTGGGACCTAAGGCTTTCATTGACTAGTCTATTCTTAGTTATGATATTCAAAACTTTTATTCTCCATTTTTTATTAAAATCATCATCGCAGGATGGTATTTTAAAAAGTGAAACACCTTTATTTCTTTGAGAAGTACTATAGCCAAAAATGGAACAATTAGCACCAGGCATTTGAAAATAACAAGATTAAATGAATATTTTTTTTGTTAATATTATTTTTAACGCGTCTTTGTTTACAAAAAGTGTGCACTCATTGGTAGACTCGGTTCTAAAAAAAAGTTAACAATAACATAAACAATAGCGCTCTTAAACTGGCCACACTATGTATATTATGACTATGATTATTTTAAATTTTTTGAACTAAAAAAATAGGTTTTAACCCGTTAACAGTCAATGCCGTAATATTACGCAAACTAAAAGTGGTTTCTTAATGTCCATGTCATAGTATTAGGCAAGCTACAAGCGGTTTTTACAGGGTGACAACCTTAAGGTAAAACACATAAAGTAAGCTATATTTTCAAGTTTAAGAGTTATATTTATTCGAAAGTGGTATCAATAGAAAGCTAAAAGTGTAGTTAACAAGTTTTATTGGTTTAATTCGAACCTGTCGCCCTCTGCTTTTATGCAGGCTCGACATCTCTTGAAAAAGTTTTCACACGCGGCACGCACGGTTTATTGTGGCATTTTGTCCCAAATGTCGATCAAAAGTTCCTTGAATTGATCCAAAGTTGTTAATTTATGCTTCCCCAGTTCTTGTAGCATGTATCCCCAGACAAAGAAATCAAGGGGATTGAGGTCAGGACTCGAAGCAGGCCATTCTTTGGTATCGATAAAATCTGGGAAATTTTGCTTGCAGTAATCTAGAACAACAATAGCCTTGTGTGCAGGGGCAGAATCTTGCTGGAACACCCATGGATCATCACCATACATTTTTTTAGCCTTAGGTTCAATCAAATCTTTGATCACATTCTGTAAGTAGTATTCTTTGTTGATTTTCACCCCTTTATCGATAAATTTCAGAGGAAATTTCCCCTTTTTCGAGATGGCCCCGAATACCTTGACCGCCGAAGCGTTCTGATAACGAGGGACAGTTCTAACGTTTAAAGGAACATCAGAGAGCTTTACAGCATAAACTCTGTCATTTTGTCTATTCAACGGGCGCTCCAAAGTAAACATTTTCTCGTCCGAAAAAACAATATCTGCCCCACCGTGCCGCTTCAATAGCGATTTGCAGCGCTTGACTCTTTCCACCTTGTTTTTGTCAGTGAGGCCGGCAATTTTTTATTTACGGTAGCACTCAAGTCTTAAATCTTGTTTTATAACCTTTTGCATAGAGGTATATGACATGTTCAGCTCTTTAGCTAGCTGCCGACCTGAGCGAGCAGGATTTCTTCGTAAACGTTCTTTTACCACTTTGATGATTGCTGGAGTGCGCTTGACGCGCTTTCTTTTTCTAGTTTTAGCTGGAATTGTTTGCCCAGTAGTTTTGTAACGAAAAATTGTTCGACTGATTAATGATTTGCTGACTTTTATATCATTTAGGCGTCTCCAAATATCAGCTTGACTTAAATTTTTTTTTGTGTAATGAAATTATCAGCTCCCTGATAGGATTTAGATCTGTATTTTTTATACAATCCCTCATTTTTTCTTCCTCAAATTTTTGAAACTTTTTCTAAACAAATGTCAAAACAAACTGTAAAGAAGGGGAAAGTCATATGGTACGGGGTTAATAAATGGTTGGGGTTCGAAAATGTGTTTCACCTTTTGGTTGTCACCCTGTAAATGTCCATGTCTTAATTTTACGGTTTTATGCATCTCCTTATATTTCTACCGTGTTTATCAGTAATTATACGTCTACTTGTCACAAATTTATTACTAGATAATTACAGAGCTTTTGTTTCAATAATTGTCTTTTAAACGTGTTCAATTTAATTTTAAATATGACAAATAAGGAAGTTTTTCAGAGCAAAAATAATTATCAAAAAGTAAACATTTACTCAGGAAAAGATAGACTTTTATACATTTGATGAATCAATAATAAAAAGATATATAATATAATAAAGAGATATATTTGATGAATTATTACTGAAAATGATAATAAAATATTAATGCTCAAAGATGGTGCGCGGTATCTTACAAACACAACATTCAAAAAGCATCAAGATATTTTTTTTATTTTAACATCTTCGCTTCCAACAAAGGTGCAAGCAACCACTAATTAGTGTTGGAAGTTACTGGAAGAGAAGAAGATTGACAGACGGCTTAAAAGATTACAAATTATATGAATCAGGAAAGCAAGATGAAGGAAGCAAATTCCAAAGAACTGATGTTCGAGAAAAAAAACCGAAAGAGTTTTTGGGCCATTATTGGTTTTGATTGGCTTATCATGGCCCAATATCGACCATTATTAGGGCGATGTAGGTTAATACTGGCCCAACGTTGGGCAATTCAAGCTCAATTTTGGCTAATTCAAGCCCAATATTGGCCAATACAAGCCTAATATTGGCTATTCTTGGCACATTATATATTCACACATTTTTTTTGGCAACAAGAGCTTAGTATTGTCATTTCCGTGCTAACAAACTTGTAATACATAGAATATTACACTGAATATCTTTTCAAAATAATCTTTTTAAAATAAAAAGGAATGTCGATTTGCTTGAAATAAAATTCAAAAAACATAAGTCATATAAAAGAAATTTATTCAATAAATATTCTCAACCAATATCCAATAAAACAACAATGTAAAAAAGAAAATAAACACATTATAAAAAACATTTCATATAAAAATTAAATGTCTTCTAAAGAACTTTCCTCTACGCCTCTCTTAGCGATTTTTTCGAGACCATCCATGTCAATTGAACTTGATAGGTAATTTGGCAGCATCTTGTTCGGTTGACTAATTGTCGCTTAAGGATAGTTTTCTTACTACACCTACATAAACAAATATCAAGAGTAATCAGAGATAAACAGAAAATAGAAAAAATAAAAATCTATCTATCAAAATAAAATTTTAATCTACCATCACACAGATCACCTGTGTATACATTAGGGTTTAAATCTGGTGTTAAAATGAGAGTGTCATTGTAATTTTTAGTTTAAAGTGAAAGGATATCTAAGATGTTTAGAAATATGACACTTTTAAAACCAGAGTAAAATCCTAATGTGTAGGACATAGTTGGATACAAGATCTGGATCCAATTACCTGGGTACCTGTATCCTAGTTTTGAGATCTGGACTCTATTTTGTTTGGATTTTCAGTTCCACAATATTTTTACCGATACCAATTTTACACAATAATTTACAAAAAAAAATTCCTCATACAAAAGGTCTAACCCTTTTCCTGCCTCTAAAGGCAAGGAAAAGTCACTTAATTTAATGGTCAGCACATGAAAAATTGACTACACAGAAGGAAAAGTCTAATACTCTGATTAACAACAATACTCTGCATTTATGTTATTTTATTGATGTATGTTACCAAGAAAATATATAATTATTATTTCTACAATTATATAATAGATTATATAGAAAAAATATTAAACAATGTATTAAAATAGAGATATAAAAAAAACACAAACTAATTAAAAATAGCTTACTGTTCTTGATCAATACTCAGAATCTTGCAATTGGGTTGATTTCCAGAAGATCATTTATATTTTGGAGTAGAAAAGTCAAGGCATCTGAGAGAGGTGCATTAATGGTTTGTCCGATGCAGGCTTGTTTCTGCCACTGCTCATTAACATCAGCTTTCAGCTCTGGTTTACCAAACCTTTTGTGAAATGTAAGTACAATTAGACATATAGATGTAGTGGTGTAGGAAGTGATTAATGCATCATCGTTTGTGGCGTTTGTAGTTCTTCTTCTTAGCTTGAGCTCGAACCCTGAAAAGTAATTTATAACTTTTTTTTTAATCACATGGTATTAATGATTGCTACCCACTGTGTTTGCTTTTTTGGCAAATCAATCAAAATATGTAAGCATAGATGGTAGAGTATGATAATAGAATTGGTACCATTTTACTTACCTCCACTTTTTAATAACCATAATTATGGATAGATAGGTCAGTGTTTATTATTTAATATGAGTGTATTTCTTATTTTGCCTATTTTGTAGCACCTATTCCCTGAGGCCAAAACAGCTAGTGGATTTCTTTAATAAACTACAACATTGAACTACTGCCATTACCTCCTGAAAAACGAGTTGACAAAACATGGTAAACTGTAAGAATAAAGTAAAGAAGTATATATAAACAAAAATTAATTTTTTATTATTGTATTGTAAAACAAATGGGATTTACATCTTTCATTATTACATTATAATTATCATAATGATTTTGTTGAATAATACAAATGCATATTTATAAAAATTTATTATAGAATATTTATGATGCTTATAATGATGATAGTGATGATGATGACGACGATGATGAGAATAAAAGTTTTAAAATAAATAATAATGAGAGTAATTTTATTTATAAGTTTGCTTACCATATATCACATTTTTCACCCCAACTAGACAACCAAACTCTAATTTACTCTTTTCTTCCTGTAAAGTTATAAAGCATTGAGAGTTTTGCTGTCAAGATTTTCTTAGCAACTTTTCTCAAACAGTCATCAAGACCATTTCCTTCAATTAGAGACAAAAAAATAACCTATAAAGAAATAAACATTTTCCATTTGCTATTGCATACAAAAATGAGTTTATACTAAAGTATTAATGTTATTATATATGAAGTCAATTCGAAATAGAAAAAAAATATACTAATTTAATTTAAAAAATAAAGGTAAACTTTTATATTCTTTATATTATATAATGATAATATTAGACTTACTGCATTTGATCGACATTTTGATTAGTATTTTCCAGAAAAATGCTATTTAACTGTAAGAGTTCATCAATTTCTTTTAATGGAAATATAAAATTTTCTGGAAGATTTCCACTTGTATTATTATTAATAGAAACTTGCTTTTGGCGCTTAATTAATTTCCTCCAACTGTTTAACAACACTATGAAAATATGGTTGAATAACATCAGCCACAGCTTGTTTTACTAAATCAGAAACTATCCAAAAACAATAAATTATATTTATAGAAAACTTTAAGATATATAGAGACCCCTAAATGACCCTAGGAATTTTGGAAGTTACAAAATCGTTATTTTTGCATAATTTCTAGTGTTAGGGCTTTTAAAAAAAGTTGAGAGACTTTGGAACTATAAACGTTAACTGCAAAATAAAAAATAAAAAAAAACCTCTAACTTATTAGAGCACCAGGAACCATAAAAAACTAAGTTTTTTGTAACTTTCAAAATTTTGTAACTTTCAAAAGCGGTCTATTATAAAAAGACCACCTTTTGAAAATATAATTGAACACATATGCCAAACTTGCAATATACAACATATTAATTTTAAAATATTATTTTAAATGCAAAACTTACGAATTGAAGATGTGATGTTTGTGCTAGAACTAGCAGGTGAAGGTTTATCAATTCGATCTGTGGAAGTGGTTGAAAATGACTGTCTACATGATTTTTTCTTTTTCCTGATTTTCGAATTTTCATTTTTTTACCTTTTTCTCAAGTGAATTTTCAGGACTCCTAAAATTGAAAACAAAATGTTAATAAAATTGTAATGTAAATAATAACGAATATAAAATTTCAAGCTAAGAATTCTAGTCTGCATTTAGAATCATTTAGAATATTGTACTTTAAAAATATACAATAAATATGATATACTTTACCATTGTGTTTGCAAATTTTTCCTCTTTAAATCATGTTTTTTTTCCGAACAACTTCAAGAAATATTTGTGTAGTGCAAAGATTTAGCCTCTGCCTATTTCATTTTTTTCATAGTCTGGAAAATTATAATTTGCAGAAACAATCATATTATCAAAACTTTTCAAAACCATATAGAAATTATATACCTCCAATTTTCAATATTCTTATATAAGAATAAAGAGGCCAATCACTGTGATTAGGAATCGGTAACTTTTTCATTTTTGACCATTGTGTAGCACCAATTCCCTGAGGCCAATAACATTTAGCTGATTCTTTTAACAACCAGCAATCAGGAACCACTGCCACTTTATCCTCAAATTCAACTAAATATTACATTACTAACTGAAATAAAAAGATAAACATAAAAATCAGTAGTATCAAATACTAATACTGATATGCAAATGAGCGCTAATACAAAAATTTAGCAAAAAAATAAAAATAAAAATTCCAGTTTATTATTTATGTATTTGAGGATTCATAGACAGAGAAATACAAACAAATTTGGACTTGCATGGTAGTATAACATATTTTTTCTGTATTTCATCTGTTGTGACATATTGATACTGACATGATAACTAAGAGATCTTTACTATACCAAAACATTCGAAAGAATTTGCAGGATATCTAAAGAAATGTTCAATAGTAAGAAATTTTTTATAAACAATAAAATGCCTATTATCACCATGAAATTTTAATATGTTGCAAATTAAACAAAAGTCATTTTTTATTTTTATGCAATTGTTTCCTTTTGAAGTAGAGTAAAAAATTCCATTTAAAGTAATTTTTTAATACTGTAGACACTCTGTTTGTGCTTTTAAAACAATAGGACCATTTTCAAGCAGCTTCCTGGGAATGCCTTTCTTCATACATTTATCAGAGTTTCTTATAATGGATCCATTTCTTTCAGACATACACCGGATAACCTGTTGAAGTGGTAAATAAGGTTTATGTATTAAATGCTTTAAATACCCTTGATAATTTTCAAACAGAAATGCAGAGTAATTATAAGCAGATCCAAATCTTTTTACATCACTTGCAAAGGCGCGTAAGATAGTTTCCGCATAATCAGCATGACTTTGATAAAAAGCTGAACAGGCTAAACAGTGTATCCTTACAAAAAACAAAAGAAAATTGTTGTATAAAGATTTCGAAAGATGTCCTTTTAGTGCTACAATGGCACTGTATAATAAAAATTGACTGAATTTCACTGCTTTTCAACGCTCTATGTCACTTAAATACATAGAGCGTTGAAAAGCAGTGTTTTTAATAAAAAACCCTGTTAGTGATGAAATAAGTGAAACACATCTTATTCCATCACTAACAGGGCTTTTTATTAAAAACATCAAAATCCTTTTTATTACTCCTAGACACACTAGATGCATAAAATCAAGTGAAAACTGATTACCATTCCAATAGACAATTTTTTAAGCGGAGTATCTCCAATATCACATTGGAGATACTCCGATACTGGAGATACTTATCATTCTTTTAATGAAATAACAGATTAGCATCTGTTATTTCATTAAAAGAATGATAAGTTTTAAGTGGAGCATCAGTTTTAAGAAATGTAACCTTACTGTGCCATTCCCCTTTTTGGATACACTTATTACAACTGTAATATCCACTATATCCTTTAGTTTGTTTTTTAAATGCCCTTGCAAGAATACCACATACAAAGCAGGATATACCAATGTTTATTGAGCATTTTGTACCATCTACATCAATTTTAATAGGACCTTTTTCCAATTCTAACATTTCTTCAATGAAATCTTTTAAATATTCATTCAAGTTAACTGATTTACTTTGACTGCAAAACAAGCCAATCAAAAATGGATTACTTGAAAATGGGATTGATACTCTTGCTAGAATTGGTTAAAATTGTTGAGTACTTGACTTCTGTAAAGGTAATCAATATTAATTTGTAGAGAAAGTGATAGAGTTTCAGAGCAAAGACTTGTACAAAAATAAGGCAAATGAATTATGTGTTGTAATGAATTAACAACACGAAAGTGATAATAGGAGCCCCCTTCAATTGTTTTGACAGCTCTTGCTCTAGGTGTTTTTGTAACATTCGCGGATCTTTTGGAAGTGATGGGTGCAACACTCTAAGTATATCCAAAAGTGAAGATACTGCAATCATAGGAATAAAAAATGATGCTGCCCACATTCCCAAATCAAATGATAGCTCTCTTTTTTTCATTTTCAATATCAGGTTTGTTTTCCTCACTGCTATCATTTGACAATGACTCTACATCAATGGATTCAATTATATTCTGCTTCATAAACATTTCCCAACTATTTGTAACAAATTCGTCCGAACTACTATTTTCAATCAACTTTTCTATTGAATTTAAATACAGCATATTAAACTCAGAATCGTTATTAGATTTGGCGTCATCAAGAATTGGAGAGAAGTGATCTAATAAATGCTGATTACAAACAACTTGATCATCTTTTTGTCCTACAATATCATTAAAAGAATAAGAGACTAAGACTCTTATTCTTTTAATGATTTAGTCGGACAAAAAGATGATCATGTTGTTTGAAATCAGCATTAATTAGATCACTTCTCTCCAATTCTTATAAAGCTTTAAAAAAAGATAGTTTTATATGTCATACCTCTTATTAAGAGGCATGACATATAAAACTAACTTTTTTTAAAGCTTTATTATTATTAGAAATAGAAAAATCTGTATCAATATTGGACATAATTTTGTTGACAGATTTAATTATTTTTCTTCTCTTTGACCAATAAGTTTGCACAGTATCCATGATCTGTTGAAATCCCTTTTTTTATATAAGTTATATAAACTTTAGTAAAGCTATAATGATAATAAATTAGAATTATGGAAAAAAAATATGTGTATAATTCATATATATGTATACTTTGAAATTAAATTTAAAATACAGTTCTAAATTTAACTCAGTTCTGAAATAATAATATCTTATTTCCAATAATAATATTATTGATATTATTAATATTGGTTCAAAATGATTGCGTTAATCCGAAATGCGCGCCATATTTAAAAAACGACTTTATAGCAGCTAATGGTATATAGAGAGCCTATATACTCAGAGAGCGGACATATTTGTGATCGTTTTTGATTGGTTGTTCGATTTTTATGATTTTAGACGCCATCTTTTTGACAAAAATACCAACTGCGAATAAAGTCTAGTACTAAATTTGTATTAAATATTTGTAAAAGTATGCCTGGTTGTGCTGCAGTAGGCTGCCATAACAGGCCTGAGAAAAGATTTATTATGAAATGCTTCTCAAGAAATGAAAAACAACGGGCGATTTGGAATTCTAAAGTTAAACGACTTAACTGGATACCTACAAACACAAGCTTTTTATGTAAAGTAAGCATAAGAAAATACAGTTTTATGTAATTAATCCTAGAAATGAGTTATTTTAGAATCGATACAAATACATTATATTCGTTCAATTTTTTTATTAAGGTACACTTTGATGCTAATCAATAGGAAAAAACCAGAGAAGATGGATCAAGAAAACTCAAACATAATGCAATTCCTACTGCCTTTAAACATGTTAGAGCAAAACATAAGCGAAAAATTCCACTCGAGCGTTTTCCAATACCAAAAAAAAGAAAATAAGTTGTATAGAAAGTGGAGAAGTCGTGGAAAATATTTTAATTGAAGTAAATAACAATATAGTATCTAAATCACTTTGCACAACTGAGGTTGATAAAAGTTTACTTATACAAGATTTAAATGCGAAATTGGAGATTAGAAAAAAAAGTCATTAATCAAAAAAAAAAAAATTAACATTTTAAAATCGAAAGCAAGTATAAATACTATTCAAAAATATAATCATATAAAGAGAGATAAATTTAGAGTTTTGAAAACAATATTTAAAGAAGATCAATTTTTATCTTTAAGTAGAAAAAATATGAAATTCATTAAATGGTCAAACGATACTATAAATGAAGCATTAGAACTTAAATTTACATGCGGTCAAAGTGGTTATGAAAATTTACTTCGTTTAAACTTACCATACCCATCATTACGTACCCTACGACGAAGATTAGAAAATCTAAAATTTCAAAGTGGCATTCTAACAGAAGTCTTTGAGTTTATGAAAACTAAGATGAATGCCATGAAAATTCATGAAAAAGAATGTGTTTTAGTTCTTGATGAAATGTCAGTAACTGAAAGTGACTATGACACATCTACAAGCTATTACTATGGAGTTGTTACATTACCTGAACATTATGGCCAAGCTAACCATGTTTTAGTTTTTATGCTTGGAGGAATATCTGCAAGATGGAAACAAACTGTTGTATATTATTATGCTGGAAGTTCTGTTAATGGGGGTGTTTTAAAAAACATTGCCCTATCTATAATAAAGTATACTGAAGAAATAGGATTAAAAGTTAATAGTGTTACTTCTGATATGGGTGCCATTAACCAGGCAATGTGGAAATATTTTAATATTAGCTGTACTAAAATTGGCAGTATTTCTAGTTCAATTAAACACCCATGGGACCCTACTGATTTTTGATTTTTTAGCAGACGTACCACATTTATTAAAGAATATAAGAACATCTCTTTTATGTAACAAACATTTTATAATAACAGCTAAGATTCAAGAAAAATATAAACTTCAATCGCCAATTATAGATTCAAAACACCTTAACAAGTTTGTAGACTTTCAAGAAGGTATGGATTTGAAGTTTGCTTACAAGCTTACATCTGAACATCTTGATGAAAAACATTTCAACAAAATGAAAGTATCAAGAGCAACATCTATAATAAATCATGATGTAAGTTGTGGATTAAAATTTATTGCAAGTGAAATAAAAGATGATTCTATTCTCACAAGTGCTTGGTTTATAGGAACTGTTGATAAATGGTTTAGATTAATGACTTCACGAAACCCAGGTATGGCTCTTAGCATGAAAAATGACAAAGTTTACAATGAAACAATAACTTTTTTAAATGAAATCATAGAGATATTCAATGGTTTAAAAATATTAGGCCAAACTGGAATAAGGTGAAAACCTATTCAATCTGGTGTTATATTATCAACAACATCAGTTATTAACTTGCAAAATAAGTTTCTTCTAGAAAAAAAGTTTGATTTTCTAATCACAATTTACGCAAGATTGCCTGGAGAAACTTTTTTCCCTGGTACGTGGAAAACAAGTAATTCCTACTGCTCTTTAATTTAAAAATAACTTGAAATTTATTTGCGTTGCCCAATTCTTGAAAAAATCATCAAAAGGCAGTTATGATATAGATGACCGTCAATTCTTATCTGGTTTTCTTGATATAGTTAATAGTAAGGTGCATAAGCCACAGCCAAGAAAGTGCATTTTGTTATCTAAAGATTGGGATAAAACCTCTAACTTAATCTTAAGTAATGCTGAGCAAAATTGTTTGTTTCATATTGCAGGTTATATAATTTCTAGAGTTAAAAAAATTGAAAAAGTTTGTACAATTTGTTTTGAATCTATAGTTTCTAAAAATAGAGTTAATGCTGATTGTTACAGACAAAGAGCACAAAGTGGGTAGTTTGTTTTTTGCTAATGAAACAACATTTGCATTCTTTTTACAAATGGAATTAATATTCAGATCTTTTGAGCCATATCTTAATTCCCAAAAGAATTGTAATACTATCCTTTTAGAGAAAATTAATTCTGATGAACAAATTAAAAGTCTAACTTTGTATCCTAGTTGTCATCAAATTAAATTGAGTCTAAAAAACAGGTTTATAACAATATAAATATTTTAAAATTTTTAGCCTTAAAAAAAAAGCGTTTATTATGTAAAAAGAAAAAAACTAAAAAAGGTTCTTGTGAACTTGGCAGCAAGAGTATGACAATGCATGCATTGGCACTAAAGGTTTAGGTTCAACTAAATTATAAAATAAACTGTAAAGCTTTTTTCAAATTACTTATTGATTACAACTACTTTTTTGCTGTGTTTTTTTTAAAGGTATTTCGTAAATAAATAAATAATTTTGTCAAAAAATAATTTTGAAAAAATAAAACATAAAAAGGTTTAATTTTTAAAAATATATTTCTGTTGAAAATATTATTGTGCTCATTTTCTTTTAATTGTTTTTACTTGAATTCGTGAATGTCATACGCTAGTTTGGCAAAAACATGGCCGCCGTTCTTCCGTATTTTCCGTATGTCTGCTCTCTAAGTATATAGGCTCTCTAATGGTATATATTTATTATATATTTATTAGCCAATCTTGGCCAAATAAATTCCCAAATAAGTCGGCCAGTATTTAGGCTTCTGTATCAGCTACAAATGC